AATGTATTGCGACACATGGCAAGCAACACAAGGAAGCAATTGAGGCATAGAACCGAGGCTGAACCTCGCGACCAACACAAGCTATCCTATAAAAAAAGAAAAAAGAATAGAAATTTACAGTTTTACTGCTTGAGCCTTAGTTGCGGACTAATTAGCAGTCAGTGGATTACACTGGGTATGATAAGAAAATGCCGATAACACCCGGTGATTGCTTTATTCTTCAAATCATAAGAAAGACGAACCCAACAATTTCTTTAGTATTCATTATAATAACGTTTAGAAATAGCGCACACATGACTGGTTGAAAAAGCGTGACTTATGAGAGTATAAAAAACGAAGCTAACGCTGTCGCGCCATCTGTTTGTTTTCAAATTGTCCTGTTAATAACGTCGACGGTTTCCATGAGCCACAACTTGGCCAGATTTATTTGAGCATTTACCTGAAATTACCCGATTTTTGGACTTCAAAAGTACATTATTCTGCATTCGACTTCACAGAACGTTTCGCTCGTTTTCCATTGTGATAGCATTTAACTGCTTTGACAGCTTTTGTATTATTCAACCAATCAAGTCATTTAGTGGCCAATTCTAAATTAAAAGGGAATGATTGTGATTGGCTTAAGCATGCTAAAACATGCTTCGCTTTGAAAATAACGTTTGCTTTGAAAATTAAAAAGCGATGTGTGGGAAATTAACGGATTCTTTATCATCAAAAGTTATAAAACAAATAAAGAAGCCTTTGACTGTGCTCTGTTGTAAATCTCTTAGCTAGGAACTAGAAAACTCAAAAAGTGAGGAGAAACACGAGAAGTAGTCGAGAGTTTCTCCCTACTCTTCGTTCGTGCTCTAGCCGCTTCCTATGTGCTTTACAACAAAAACAGAGCACAGTCAAGGATTCTTTATTTGTTGATTCAAATCTGCATGCCCGCTATGGATTATCCATCTTTTCATAATGCACTATCAAAAAATGCTGACCCACCACGTCGCTTATATGTACGTCAAAATGGACATTGATAAAGGCAGACATCTTTCAAATCATGGTTAACGTCGCCTAGTTATGACGAATTAGCTGGAACATTCATGCCAGTTAGAAATTTATAAAATATTTTAAATAAATAATAATTTGTATTAATTAAAACAGCACTTACCCCTAACATGGTGTACAAATAGCGATACTCAGAAGAGTATCTGTATTTGTAGAAGAAACGTAGAAACACCAGCGCATTGATGGCAAATATTATCGCCTGCGAAACAAAGTTAAAGTCAATAAAAAAACTCATATTGCATTGGAAAGTCCAGGGGTTCAAACCGCTGCCTTTAAAAACAAATTGGATAATTATTTACGCTTTCAAACAAAGGACATTTCTTTTTGCGCGGGGGCTGGGAAGAGAGCGGGCTTCGATTCGCGCCCGTCAGATTTTCGCTGTGCATGTTTTATTTTCGCGACCTCCCTACTATCTGAAAGCCTGGCACAAGCTAACCTTTATTAAGATTTTAGTACCATTCGCAGGTTATTGCAATTGTCACAATGCGCCCGCCGGTAGGGCAACTCGTCGCTCTCATTTCAGGTTGAGGCTTGCCTGTTAACCGAATCGATGATGCTGAGAAAACGTCTGAGATCTTGAACTTCCCGCATACTTAGGTATAAGGAAGCCAGAGAGTTCATTTTATGTGCGATTATTATTTTTTTTTTATATTATTTATTGTTTTTTTAGGCCAATCAGTAAGCTATGCTAGGCCCGCCCGTTGCAAAACCAAGTATCCAATATTTTTTGTTTTCTTTTCGCTGTCACATAATTAATGCACTAGAAGACTGATTAGGGTGTGGGCTCAGCTATAATCGCCGCCTTTTGTAAACACCTGGCATAGTTTCCTGACCAAGCCCTGCTTAACTACTGAAACTTCCTCTTTTTGATAAAAAAGAAGTAATTGAGCTACGCTAACCACAAACAAACCAAGTTGAAAAGTTCGAGCTTACCGTTGAATTACACTACATATTCATAGATGACGACCAGAGTGTTTACGAAAACGCTTTTCATTAATCGTTCTTAAATTATTACCACCAAATTTTGTCGACAATGCGTTATTTTGGTGTAATTCAATTTCACATTCATAGGTATACCTTATTATAAGCTATTATAGAGCCTACTCACAGTGCCGTGGCAGTTAAAGCGGTTTTAGCACTAATTTAGGACTTTATCAACTGAGGAAACTGAGTTTCAAAAAAAAAAGATTAAGAATGAAAGAGAAAATGAAGCTTTACATTAATAAGCTTACAGTTTTACAATGAAAGGTTCAAATTAATATATGTGTATGGCAAAATGAAAAAAGGGAAAATGAATAAAGATTTCATTGTTTTGAAATACTTTCGGAACGGAGAACAAATTGACTGTTACTGAAATGATGGTGATCCGAATTTTCAGCTGTTCCGGACCTGATGAATGCTTTACACCTTTGTTATTCAGTGCACCGAAAACTCAGCGTTGGTCGAGTGACCTAAGGAAATCACTTTCTTAGCTTCCGCTCAAAATTTAAATTTTCATAATAATACTGTCTAACCAACAACAAAATACTAACCCAAGCAATTCGATATCAATTGACGATTGCTATCAATCCAACTCTCTCTTAAGATGTTGTATTTTACTTCAAAATCAACCTATCGCTGGTAGTGGCTTACATTTACAAAAGTATAATAACTTTCACGATTTTTAGTCAAATTAAAAAGATAGGGTACATTTTCCGATACAGAGAATACAATATCTTGTTCTATAAGCCGGTGTTTTCTTGTCAATACATGTACTGTATAACTTTTGAGAACGTTGTCCTTGAAAAAAAAAGATTCAGCTTTTATCATTTTCAATGGCTTGCTATAAAATCACCATTAACGTAATTGTTTGATCCGGCAATGTAAAACGTGATGATATTAAGAGCTACTTGAAGATGATAGTGATGCCTTCGTACCCTGTGTCACAAAGGTTATAAGTGGGTGATGCTGCTGTAGTGGCTATCAATTAGGGAAGGATACCAATACTGGATTTCACTTTGATCGTTAACTTATAAAAATATAAAGCCAAATTATAGCTAAAAACATACTCACCGGCCCGATAAATTTGCTTAGAAATCCGGCAAGGAATCGATGCAGACATTCTCTAACCTTAATCACTTTAGTCATCTTCCAGATAATCACTTCTCGCGGGAAACCGGCGTGCTTAAATGATCTAGAAACAAGGCCAGTTGGTAATAATATTGAAAGTAGAATTCTAGACACATGGACGACGAATACACAGACGAGGGGCGCGGAGAGTGTTTTGAATCTAGACGTAAGTGGGACAATAAAAACCCTTTTGTCTCCCTGAAGAGAATACCAACCAAGCTTCCGGTTGGTTAGCTGGGCGTTTTAAAACCCTTGGTTGTCGGATCCGGTTCATTGTTTCACGTCACCACTACCGCATCTCAGTTGCCAACCAGAGACAATTTAGAATCTCTTCGGCTTCCCCATAATACAACAATGAATGAAAATGTATTGAATAGATATATAGGGGTGACTAACCGGGGGGGGCGGTGGTGCTCCGGAAGTGACGGAGATAATCATCAAATGGGGGCAAAAATCAAAAATTCCGGATTACCCCCCTCCGCCTGGGATATAATAGCCAGTGAACAATCGGAGAGAGTTTGGCATTCGCAGCTGAGCCTGTACAGCCGCCTCCTTGTTTGAGGGGAGGGGGTGGCTTTAAACAGGCTAGCTCGCAGGTAATACTAATACGAATATTACGTACAATAAAAGGTCAAGCAACCCTGTCAGCTTAAGACAAACCGGTAATGTCAAATTTGGGGTATAAAATAAACCACAAAGCAAAAGAGCCAGTTATAACAACACAAGTTCCTCATCCTATGTGTCCTATATCTTGATAACATTAATGGCAGGGTACTAGAAGCCAGTATTCAAGAATCTCAAGCATGTTAAGGCATGATGACCCAAAGCCTATTTGGATAAAAGCTGCAAAGAGTCATAACTTTAAGAGAATTTACGTAAACATGATGAATCTTGGTAATAACATAAAACTTGACATCCTTAAGTCAGTGTTCTTGTTTGAAAGGGGAATTTGTGTCACGTGACTCATTACAGCAGTTTTCTTACTTGAAGAGAAAAGTGAAAATGAGCCGCCGAGATGACATGTAATGGGCATACGTTAAAACACCAACGTAATTGTCTGGTTTCTCCTCTTAAGAATCTGTCCAAAAGGAATAAGTTTAAAAATTAGGTCACGTGACCATTTTATTCTTCTAATAACTTCTTAATAAAATGAGATTTTTCTTCGTTCAGGACAGAATTGAATTTATTTATGTCAATGAATACTGTATGGTTCTTTGCCTGCCACAGTTAAACGCCATTAGCCCATTTCATTTTCCTCTTTTTCTTTAATCATGACGTCATTAAACACTCGTGACCACGGTTAAAAAATGTCAAGGATGTTGAATTATTTCTGCTTCGTACTTCAAATGGTCGAAGGAGCTACTAAAAATAACGCTACTTCTATTAAGGAAGCTAATTTCTTCGTGGCGGGTCCAGGATCAGAGAAAGGACCTTGCCTTGAACATGCTTGAGAATTGTTTTTTTTTTTCTTTTCTGAGACTTGCAGTCTCAATCAGTTAGAGACAAGCTCTCAAGTAAAAGATGAATGGACGGATCACACTATTCTTTAGACTACAATTAGTCCCCATTTTTTCTCAGGCATAATAAAGCGAGCGAAACGCGATCGCGCGTACCCTCGCCTTTCTCGAGTGTGGTGATTTTCACGCGCGCTCGCGTTTCTCTCGCTCGACTATCCCTGAGGGAAAATGGGCGCTACTCGTAGTCCAACTATTTTTTTTTTTTTGAGGTACCTCTAACTCTATCGACTATAGGAGACTCTAAATGGGGTAGTAGCTTTGATTGACAGTTACTTTTTTTTCCAATTTCGACGGTTGACGGCAAAATTTTAAATAGGGCTTAAGACGGTTGACGGTTATTTAGTGAAAATTTAGTTCAATAGTTGAAGTAGTGATATATTTATATTTAGCTGTTGTGTTTTGGAGGTTGCCTTGGCCTTTCACTTCACAAAATTTCCAAATATTTTAAGATATAGCATAGTTGTAAGGTCTTGTAGTGTCCACAACTACATAAACACTTAAACAGAAATATCTACACTTGGTTGTTGTGACCTTTCTTTGAAACTATTTTTTTTCCTTTGAACGTCCAAGATGGCGGGAGAGTATTAGTCCCGAAAAGAGTATGATCATGGTTCGCTCCACAAAAAACGCCTCGTTTGCAGGCTACTGTGACGGTACGTCACAAATTCTCCATCTTTTGGTGCAGTCTCGTACCCAGGCCAGTTCGCGCTATCCGAGTTACCAGAGGAGGCTTGGAACCGAGTGCGATAGCGCGAGTCCTCGGTGAACTTTCCCGACAAACTTCACCGGTGACGTCACATCCGAAATCGCCGAGGAGGACTGGGAACGAGGCTGCTTTTGGTGAATGAAATCGGGCATGACGCCGCATGGAACTGTGGTCGGTCAACTTTACATTTTCATTTTTCTTTTTTTTAATAAATGCCCTTTTAAACATGCAAATGTTGAGTTGCAGCCGGCCCTCGCATAGACTAGACCAGCACCGGGCATTCTTGACACCTTTCTTTGTAGAGTAAACGTGTTTCTCTTCTCAATTGTTTTGAGTTTCTCCTGGGTTCTAATTGTTTCGGGAAGGCTAGAAGGGAGACTTGACTTTCTCCCAACGGTCTATTGAAAAACAGTACTAGTAACTGAGTTGAATTTTTAAGTGATCTTGTTTTCTCTCGTTTACTCAGGTTTCCAAAACAACAATGTTAGGAGAGTTTCGCTCTTGTTTTCCTTTTTCATCACAGATTGCTTCCTTTTCATTATTTTCCTCTTCGTGGAGTGAGTCCTTCAAAATCACTTCATCGCTTACTAAGTCTGTACTTTCTCCGTCCCCCGCCGACCGAAAACTAGCTTGTCTTGCTATGGTGTATTTTAGAGAAGTTTAATGTCTGCAAATAGATGATTGTCTTTAAAGCTTCTTGAGATTCTCTTCAGTAAGAGGTGCTGGTGAGTCTCCTTGACTCCGCGTTATTCACTTTTTCTCGCAGTGAAAAAAATAGAAAGCGCGCGGGGGACGATAGGAAGAGGGAAAAGGCCTCACTTCTCTCATCCCCCTTCCCATCGTGCCCCGCGCGCTCTCCTTTCTTTCAGCCTCCCCACAACACAAAGAGGCCTCTGGGGAGGAAAGAGAGTGACTTCCATTAAGAGGTGTCAATGAAGACAAACGATGGCAAAATGTCACTATTCAAGCACGTAACTAATTCCTGAAGAACCCAGACACGGTACCCGTTAAGCGTTATCTTATTCCATCCAAAGAATGCTTGCTCAATGTCTGAGAAGCACAACATCGGGGAATGTACTCTCGGCTTCTCTCACTACCCCCTCTGGGAAAACAGCTGCCACACACAATTCCGTTGCTTTTACCCATCCCCGGACAGGCATGTTGACAGCCTTCCCTACAAAAGAGCAAAAACGATAGGAGCTAGTCAAACTCATTTAGAGCTTGAGTTGGTTAACCTCAATATCAACACGAATATTATCCTACATGTTGTCTTAACACTTCTTATGTTCATTGTGAGCAGATTCCTTCAAATAAATACGTATACTAAGATTTCATTTCTGTTTCCCTTTGTTTCTATTATCGTAAGTCTTATCTGTAATTCAACAGTGATCCGTAAAGCATACCTGGTACATGTTTGGCAGGCTGTACACAATGCTCGAAACTGATTGCAGAACTTTGAGCGAGCCAATAATCGTGGACCAGAGATATTACCAGATAGCGAGACTGAGGTCCATTGAGACAATTCAATTCAATTCAATTCATTCAAATATAGCGGCGATTTTAGGTAAACACGTTTTCAAAAATCCATCTTTCGGGCGTAACAATTCTTAAGCCTTAAGGCAACACGAAATTGCTTAATGTCTGCAAGGCCTTTTGGTACAAACTAGGCTTGCAGAGAGAGAAATCTGATGTGGATATCTGTACGAAACATACTAGACTTTACAAATTTAGACATGATCACATAATCACATCTACGGGAGGCAGAGTGGCCGAGTGGTCAGCGCGTCGGACTCGCAATCCGGCGGTCCCGGGTTCGAGTCCCGCTCTGGCCACTTGCTGGATTTGTGCTCGGTCGTCCCGAGTTCAAATTCTCGGCCACGCTTGTAAATAGCCAACTGGTTGCCTTCTGTCAGTTGGGGTTTTTAATCCTGTTATGTTGTATTTGAATTATTTGTTTCTAATATTTGAGTGGAGTGCCTGTAAATTAGCTGGACAAGCTAAGTGCTCTTTCCACTATAAACAAGCCTTTAACCTTCCTTTTTTTAGTATTGTAGGTAGGAACAAACGGGTGATTAATTGTCAGGCCGGCTAGTTGTTCAAAAGGTGGATAACGCTATCTACTAGATAAATCTCTATCCACTCGATGGCGCACATGGTTCCCTAATACTTAACTTCTGGATAGTGATTTATCCGGTGGATAACGCTATCTACAGTTCTTTTCAGTGGTCTGAAACTACCTAAACCCACAACTTTCTTGGGGTTGATTATTGGCAAAACGCTATACGTTTATAAGCTGTTATCGAATAACCCACGAATTCAGCCAGAAATTGCATAACCTATGTACAGCTGTGCTGGACGTGAAAAAACGGAATTTGAAAACGAGTGTTGTGACAGTGATGAGTCTGTTGGCTGTGACGAGTGTTGTGACTGTGACTAGTGTTGTGATTGTGACGAGTGTTTTGACTGTGACGAGTACTGTAACTGTGACGAGTTTTTCGACCACCTTACAACCCCAACCACCCTCCCCACCATCTCCCGTCCCCTACCATTTCCTCTCCCCGCCCGCCAAACAAGCCTTGATTTGATCAGAAGCGGGCAATTTTTTGAGTGCATTCATTCGGTTAGCAGCACTTAACGCAAAAACTGCTTACAGAAGACTTGTTTAAGCCCCACGGTGTGTGATGCAGATATATCATCTTTCATCACTTCAGCACTTCCTTGGAGTACTACAAAGAGAGTACCACCTACAAAAACATACAAACAATCATTCAACTTAAGAAACATCGTGAATATCTATCCTGGAAGAGAAAAAATGTTTCTTAAAATTCTCAAGCCATGTACGATTCATAGACAGTAGGGTACGTGTCTGCGTATTCGATTGTTTTTTGTTGGTTGGTTGGTTTTGTTTGGTTTTGTTTTCTTCTTTTCTTTCAGCAAGTTCAACAACCTTAAACAGGGTAACTTTAAAAAAAAGGATATAAAAAAATACTCCTTCCATCTGTGTAAAGCTTCTAACAGAGGACACGTTTAAACCCAGCACTATATGGTGTAGTATGTAGCCCATCGTAACAGTAAAGAGCTTAAGCAACGACGACGGCGACGTCAACAAGAATGGAAAAAAACGCAGTAGGTTTAATAAGCAAAACAACAACTTCGCACGTGCAGCACGCTTTTTTGTACATTTCTTTACCGTCGCTGCACGACTACAACGTAAAAAATGCCTAGTCTAGGACGTGAACACAAGATTTCAACTTTCTTTTTCTTTTCATGAACTTTGATAAAGTCTTTTAGAAATCAACTCCAGAAACATTTGCCAACATTTGACAAATTGAACGAGATGGAATAACAGCGAATACGTTGGAGGCAGCGCGAATTCACTTTTTAATGGCGTTTTTGTAGCCGTCGTCGTAGTTGTTACTTAAGCTGCCTAGTACCACTGGGATTTCAGATTCGGGTTAGGTATAGATGCTACCATCCCTTGATTAAGCCGGATCTCATCCACACGAATCAGGGTATTTTTGAAACTTCGTATTTTTTACACGAATAGTCCGCGGATGAAATATATCGCGCGGATTCCCTGTTTTCGTGTGGGCGGAAAGTCGATACTTTTCCCGTAGAAAAATGTGGTTTCGAAAATATACGGAATAATTTGGACGAGGCCTTAAAAACATTTTTCACCAAAAGAAAAAATAACAATAATAAGATTAAAAATATTTAAAAGCTATAAAAAAAACACCACAAATAGGCAATTTTCGCCAAATAGCCTGAAAAACCTGGGTAAGTGAAGGCTCACACTTAAGCATTTTCGTCCACAGACTCGACATGCTAGTTGTATACTAACCAAATCCTTGGCCACGCTTGTAAATAGCCAACTGGCTTGCCTCAGGCCAGTTGGGATTCTTAACCACATTATGTTTGATTTAAATTGTTTGTTTTAGGAATTTGCTCGCCCCCCCAACATTAGTGCTATAAATACAGCTGAGGGTAAATAACGGAAATTATTTTTTTATTATCATTGATTATCTGAATTTTCACAACTCAAAAGATAGAAACAACTTAAATGATATAAGCGGTTCGTTTATAGTTTGTCTCATGATTCACCTAGATATTGATTGCGACGTTTCGACTGCATACTGCAGGTCTTCATCAGGCGATATAAGAGTCGATTCACTGAGTAGGACTATCTGTACCACCGTGGTTGTTAGTGATTGATAAATTTTGCAGAACAGTATAATCTTACCATCTTGGTATTGTCTCTTAGACAGCACAGCTTCATCTGCTCGAACTTCCTTGATGACCATGGACAATGCAATAAGATATAAAAAACCAGGAGGACAGTGCTGGAACTCATCTGTCTGGTAAACAAACCCCAACCATTTAAATTTAAACTAATTTAACTGCTCGTATTCGTTTCTTTTCAATTAATTTTTTTAAATTCTAATTTATTTAATTTGGCAACCACTTCTCCGGAGTGAAGTAGGTAACAATTATTGAGTGAGTATTTCGTAGTTGAAACGATTATTTGTAATGTTTATATTACTTCATATTTGACAAGATCATCCGTAGTTTTCATAAACTTTTTCCCTATACCAACAGTTGTGAATGCTTAATCATAAGGATCTCTTGGCCGCTTGTGGAGGCGTGTGTGGCCGAGTGGTTAACACCTCGAACTCAAGATCTGAAGGTCCGAGGTTCAAGCCTCGCCCGTCGCGTTTCCTTAGACAAGGAACTTTACTCCACTTTGTCCCTCTTCACCCAAGTGTTTTAATGGGTAACGGCGACATACTGCTGGGGAATAAACCTACGATGGACTAGCACATGGTTACTAACATTCAATCCTGGACGAGACGAATATTAAAAATTTAACAAATATATTAATTCCTCAGATCTAATATTTCGCAATTGTGAAATTAACATCATCATTGTGTTTATTTTAATCCAAAAAGGCAGGGTACAAGTGACTTTTTTTTTGTCTGAGACTGCAATCACCACTCTTTAACCATTTTATTTACCTGCTTCAAAGTCATCCTCAAAATCTAAGAAAACCATAACAGAAACAAACACTGTTAATTGTTAATTAAATCAAGAAGTCTTTTAGGAAAAGAAGGTATCATAGCAAGACAATATACATCAAGCTAAATGTAATCCCCCAAAAAGATTTCAAAAAATTAAAGTTGTGACACTGTACGAATATTAATTCACCTCAAGCTCTATAGATATCCAAAACAAAAAGGTAACGAGGAAATGAAAGAAATGATCATAAATGATAAAAAAAAGAAGAAGAAAAAACCTCCTTAGCAGACAATTGTCAATGTGTTTTAAGTATGGACAACATGCAAAGAACAATGCAGTAATTATTTCTACACAGGCATCTACATGTATATGAGCATCAATGTAAATGGAAAGAAAAACAAGAAAGTTTCAAACCTCGAGATCCAAAGCACCTCCATACTTTGTGTACAACTCAGCATCTCTCTGGTTTACTTGTTGTTTCCACTTTACATTCAGTTCTTGCAGTAGAGATGCTTCTGCTGTGAACTGCAAGCAGGGAACAAAATTGAAATAACAGAAAAGTTAATGAAATTAGAAACCTTAATATTAAAGCGTTTTAGATATCATGGGATGTTATTAGCTTTCTAACCAATGTTCATTAAATTAATTTGAAATTGCAAAATGCTATGAAACACAAGTCTTCAAGATATGTTGAAACTTGAACAAACATGTTGGCCCACCAAAAACGGCTGTATTAGATGTTGCAACAGCAACAAGTGAGGAATAACAAGGTCCCTGGTCAAAACTGTGCAGGCAAATCACAGTGGACCTCACAATAGACAGATAATTTACAGCGTAGTAGCTTAACACATTCACACCTTTTAAACCACCCATAAATATTAACACTATTTATGTACAGTATGGGATCAAGTGGCATGTTAAAGTTAATATGATACACCTGCACAGTTTGGATTACTGTGTCCACATTTTCTTTGCCAACTGGAATAGTAATAATTAAATTGTCTTCTAATAATAAATAAATCATCATTCAACAAACCTGACTGAAAGCATCATGGAAGTTTTCTTCTCGGAGCGTAATGACCTGGCAAGGCCCAGATGACCTAAAGAACAAACAATACTTCTTTTCACTTTCAGCTTTTTAACTTGACAAGAATCTACTCTGATATAAAATGACCAGCTTTAGTTGCAACCACTTGCACATTCTCAAGGAGGTCACTTTCAAAAACTTTCACTGACTGTATACAACTGTGTATAGTTCAGTGCAGTAAAAGAGTTTGCTGAGGGCTGTAAATCAATAAAGTTTGTTGTATAAAATGAAAGAACCCCCCAATATACAATCATCACAACATTAACTACTGGTTTGTGGAAACTAATTTTTGAGAACAATGAGGACTGGTTTTTCTTGCGGGAAATATATTTTTGTGATAATATTTTCAGCAAGTTCATTCATACATTATATCCTGTCCATGTGATTTCTGTGGCTGTTGTTTAAAGATGCATATTTGTTTGTCTTTTTTGTGCTTTAAATATCATAGATGGACTATACATTTTAATTTCAGTAAACTGTAAAAAAGAGTTTTGGCGTCTGCCTCCAGATTAATTGTCTGCTTGCATAAAAGCCAAAGCATTTTCAATTTAAGACTCCTTGTTATTTTGAACTGCGACTCATTGGTTATGGACAGCAGGGACTCATGATTTTTCACAAGATGAGTCCCAGGACTCACCATAACTATTTGTAACAAAATCACTGTACATGTAGTTTGTATCCCACAATAACTATTATTATTAAATACATGTATTACTAATCAGGGCTGTGCTCTAGCATAGCACGGTGGCCCATGGTGCCTAACTTTTGCTTTCAGGTGACTAGCGAATCTAACTTTTTTCATACAAATCAAATGCTCGGCACCCTAGATTTTAAAGTTTCAGAGCACTAGGCTCCCTTCAATTTTCCTTAGAGCACAGCCTTGCTAATACAATTTTTTAAGGGTACAAAATAATTATATGTTGTTATTATTTCTTTTCTAGAGCTGTTTTCCAGATTGTGACAATACAGTCTAACTTCTCCTTACTGACACCTCTCCATTACGGACATACAGTTCGTTTGGTCCCAGAAATGCCAAAAATCGTACATTCTCTACCTCTATAATACGGACACCTCTGTAAAGAGGACACTTGGTTCTGTCCCTTTGGTGTCCATATTAAAGAGGTTTGACAGTAGTAATTTTCAGATTATGAGGGCCTATTATTCAGAGGGGAACCATGGGTCTAGATTATGTTTTATCTGAATTATTACCTCACAGTGGATCTTCTCTCAGTCCCAGTGAAAAAACCTGAATGATAAATTGCAGTATTTATTCGTACAATGTCACACAACATTTGAATGGTGTTGTATACTCACAATGAAGCCTGGACAAAATATTTATGGTAACAATTAAATTCCTTCCATAATAGCAAAACTTTCACTCAAAAGAAAACTTACATCACTTCTGACAAACATTCAACATCCCGTACCCCAACGTACAGTCTGAAATCAACTTTAATTAATGGTAGCAAATGTTGTTATCTAAGAGATGGTCGCTTTTGAGAGGTAGTAAAAAAACTGTATTAGTAATACATGTACATGTATTATTAAAACTGGACCATTATTTTTGGAATTCAATTGATTAGAAAAAGTGCTACCACTGATCTATTACATGACATAACCCCCTTACGAAAAAAACAAGTGGCTGCAGTTACTGAGAAGAAGAAGCTGGGTTTTGTTTTTGAAGCTTTACTGACTTCTGTTGCAAGGGATGGTGAGGATTACACATAGATTGAAACTTGAAAATTTGGGCCAGCTTATTCAATTTTTGATGATATTCCTTCTCAGTAAAATCACCAAAAAAATGTCATGGTTAGTGCAGAGTGCTCTGTGATGGAACTATTTTGTTTAATATCTTCTTCATAACTCTACAGGTGCATTATTTTTTGTGTATGGGTAAAGGTACTTAATAAAATCACTAAAGCACGGAATTGACCTACAGCACTGTACATTGTAAAAGCAGCTGTTATTTAATTAAATTGATTGCCCATAGCAATGTGTCCCCTAAAATTCCCCTAAGGGTACTGGGTAGGTTTAAAAGTGAGTGCAAGCTTTAAAATTCAGTTTTTCCTAGCAGTTGAGAAGAACTGAAGATATGTGAATATAAAAACTGAAAACAGAGAGACAATTCACCCTAGTGTAAGTAGATGCTTTTCGAGGCATTAATTTTTCATCTTTTGAGCAATTTCTTATGTCACCTTGGTTTTCTTTTCAGTGAATCAATCTATCTTTCTCTGATTTAATGCTTGTAACCCATGTTGAACAGAAAACCGAGGCGAGGCCGATTTTAACATGTGAATAAAGTTGAATTGTTAGAATACTAAGATCTGAAAAATGAATTTACAAGAGATGAGAACTGACAACAACAGCAGCAATATCTTCATGACCATAGTTAGTAGAGGAGACTGCTTATGAAAAATGGCAAACATCAAAGATAAAAACAACAGCACTGCAGATTACAGCTGTATGTTAGGAGCTCCCTGACTCTGCACATAAAATCCTTAAGTTTTTATTTTGCTTGTCAGAGAATAAATTAATGCGACACTTTTATTGGTCAGAAAGATCCAAATTAATGATACACACGCTACTGAACATTGTGCACCTTCCAGTCCACAAATGTCAGGGCCACCCAATGACTGTTTCCTCCTAATCCATTGAAAACACTTTTCAGGCTACCCAGGGTACTTTTAGATCTGCAGAAAAATGGCGCTTTAAAATTCATAGCTGCTCGGTCACCCTAGGCGAACTTGAGTCTTTTTCGAAATTTCAAGGGATAAGGTATTATTTTTTTCCAAAACTTTTAGAGGCAATTTAACATATTATGAAAGTGAGAATTTTACTGATTCCTCTCTCCATCACATTTTTGAATCCGAAAATTTCAGGTTTCCTTTTTTCTCTGGAAAAGAGCCTAACCTGGGGAGTGAAATGTGAAAAATTAAACTTTAGAAAATTGTAGGGAATTTATAAGATAAGCTTTTCCTTTGAAAATTGTTCGTGAAAGGAACGGTCATCTAGAAATTTTTAGCTGTCCTCAAGCAGAAGAAAATTTGAGGCAACATCTGCTTCTCCAAACAGATATTTTAACAGCCGTTGGATGCCCCTGATATATAACAGAGGAGTCTGACAGTCCTCACGTCTATTCAACTCCTTAACTGTGGTGTCACATATGTACATGTATAGCCCCTTAAAGGGAAGTTAATAACAACATACCTTCTTCACCAAAGGAGAAGCCTTTTTCTCCAGCAGCAAAAGTAGCAAGCTCTTGGTCCCCTGTGGAAAACGTCACCCTGGTGAGTACAAATAGACTAAACAGTGAGTTCATATTAACCATTGTCTCAGTTTCAAATACCATGTTATTGTGGTTCAAATTTTTCTTTGGTTTGAAAACTCCAAAACAAATTGAACGCTAGTTTTTCTTTTCTCTTGGATCATCATAAAGGTTCTAAGGCAAACGCAAATAAAAATTAGTGCCCTTAATATTTAGCGTAAAGATTGCCACACCACCTTATCAGTTCCTAGTCTATTTGGGCATGGTGCATTATACAGTTTTTTCTTGGTGTTGAGGAAACTATCGTTGGTTAGCTATTGTGTCGTGGTTTGGGTATTGTGAGGTGTCTTTTCATGCTTTTGTATTACACCATTTGGTGATTTCACCTGTCCCCAGCACCAAGACACTGCCCATTATAAAGTGTGGAACCTCCCATAAGCGACCGCCCAAAATGCAATTTCGTGGTTGCTTATGGGAGATCACTCATGGAAATCAAACCGCAACAGGTCTCTTCCGAGAAAAGTCCAGACACATTTTCTTTTTGGAAGAGAATTTATTGCACTTAATTTCTAAGCTATGATATGAGTGGTTTCAATTTGTCAATGAAAGTTCTTTGTATACTTTCAGCGGCATAGTATATTCAATGAACAAGGAGCAGGTCAGAGGTCAGACCATACGTCAAGTGGTTAATTACAAGAAGTTAAAAACAATGAAAAGGGTAGTCTTTTATGAGAGGTTTAATTTTATCACAGAACTTTGACCAGGAAAATTTTGATATTTGAATCTAATAAGGGGTGGTCACAAGGATGTTCCACTGTATTATTAAACAGAGGGTTTCTATTTCTTCATATTAAAATTCAGTTACAGCAGTCACTCAGTCTTAAAGCGGTTCAAACTATAAACACAAAAAAAGTGAATTAAACCAATTACACAGGAAGGAATATAATATCAATTTATACAATGTACTTACTGTCCATGAACAAGAATAAATATTTCCTGCCCCTTCCATCCTTCTTTGGTAATAATGCTATTTGCAGGATACAGCATAATAATTTCTGCAATGTAACAATTAACTTTCCTTTAAAAAGGTCCTGTTATTTTTCTGTTAAACATTTTTCTCATTGTCTGGCAAATATGCAAGCCCTAAATAAATCGTGGTCAAGTACATGTATACATGTAAAACTGAACTTTAAAAATAAATAAAATTCAGAAGTTTTTCCATGAGTTGTGGCATTTACAGCAGCACAGAACAAAATACTGTAATGGTGCTCCTCAATCAATTTCGGTAGTTTACACAACAATAACCTTTTTTTTTTTCAGTCAGGTGTTGCTGATTTGAATAGTTCAAATTACTATTATTTTTAAATAATAAAATGATATTAAAATATCTTTTTAACTTAAGTTTAATTTACCAGGTTTAACTGTCTTTATTACAGCATCTAAAGCTTCTTTCTTCCAACCATGCAACACTGGAGACTATAATACAAAAATAAATTACTTTAAGGAACCTACATGTAATAAAATTAAAAATTTGCTTAAAATTGATATTTGCTTTTTTAAAAAAAAAATGTTCAAGACAACAGAGATCAATACAGTTCCTAAATTACTTTTGGTATAATTTTAATTATTACTAAATATCAAGATCTTACCCTTTGTAGCACATCAAGAGCAATCTCACGAGACAGCTGATGACTGTTGAACAGTTTACTGGTGTCAAAGTATCTCCTATTAATAGCACAAACACACACAGATAATAAATATCATTTTCAGTGAATAATCAGCCCCAGCTTTTAGCTCAGGTAATAACATAATTAGACGGAACCAATAAATTTTTATATTACTTAAATACACATGTACAGGCACTTGACCGCAATAACATGTATACTCCATGCTGGTTGGTAGAGCTATGTACAACGTCATCTTGCATTTGTAGCAAATTGCCTAGAGCATTTTATACACAGCTGTCAAAGAACAGAGGATTTTGTCAACTGACAAAAAATTGTAGGTCTCTGAACTTTCTGTATGGAATCTTTGAAGTTTGGTTACACTTGAGAACATTTTGGTACATCAAAAAAATTATTTGAACTAGCAATGTCTTCCTGTTGACAGATTTTTTGCAAAACAAAAAAAAAATTTGTATAGTGCGAACAGGACCTAAACTTTATACATGTGTCACATTGCTATATAAAGGAACAACAGGAGAACAGATTTTCCAAAATTATCACATTAACTTATTTATTTTAGCATCCATTATAAGCACATGAGATAGGTGACACTAACCTCTGTTGAAACCACTGCAACAGCGTCACTTCACTTGGAAATGTAAACAGTTGACGAGCATCAGAAGTTCTTAGCAACAAAATTACACACCTTGTAAAAGACAAAAAGATAATGGACACATGTCAATTGAAAAGATAGAGGAGCAAAGTGATCCAAAGTAGACTTTATAAGTGCCTGGAAACCCGAATCATTTTAAATAACTCTAAGATCCTGGTGTAAAATGCTTTATTATAAGGCTGAATCCGCACGCAGGCAAGATGAAGTGAATCCTGCATTCTGATAGGCTACCTGAGCAGGTAAGACGGGTCCATCTTGCCTGCTGGGGATTTCCCACGTTGGTCCCGCAAGTAAATGTTCACTTTTTGGCCATATAATAAATCTTTTATCGTCCAAGCTTATTTGGTCAAGATGGACTGAATATTGACCTCTACTTCATCTTGGTCAATAAAAATGCAAAAAAGAACTAATATCCAGCCATATTGACCTCATGCTTGGTCAATAACACATAATATATACCTCACAATAATTTTCCACGACATTATGTACATAAAGAGCCTACTCAGTCACTTGCATTTATAACTTCTTTATCTTCATTTTATGTATTTATAAAGACCAAAGAATCATTAAAGAATTGACAGATTTTTGTAAAAGTTTAAAAATGACTTCATTAAACTACAGTGTTATAAAAACAACACTTCATTTTTTAGAAGCAATGCTTGATTTATAATCTTTCCTTTCACATAAAAATGTACTAATTTCTCATCAACCATATCCATTGCATTTTGCTTTCTTTTCCATCATAGCAACACAGCAAATCGCCAGTTTGATTATTTTTTATTTATTCCACTAAAACATGAAGTAATTGTAAGTACCTTTACAAAGCAATAATTAGCATTATTTGAAAAACGAAAAAAGAACTTTCACAAATGGCACCACTGTCAAGATTTAAATCAAACACCTGAATACTTCTCTATACCTGTTCACTGTCTTCACGTCAGCAGTGCACTTGATATTAAAAAGGACTGAAACTTCACCAAAACAATCACCAGCTTGGATCTCTCTCAGAACGTATTTTTCATTTTCACTCACAACATTTACATTTCCAGACACAAGCACATAAATTCCAGATGGCTCTTGACCCTTCCTTAAAAGAATTTCTGGAGTATCAGGAGTCTCGACCAGTTCCACCCGACGTATCACCTCATCCCGTACCCTCTTATCAAGAACAAGTGGCAGGCGGTTCAAACAGTTTGCAAGTGTATTGACAGCTTCAGGTGGAAGTGATGGATTGACAGCTGATGCCAAATTTGGACGTACAATCTGACTCTCCCTTCTTTTGGAACTTTGCCTGTTACCCATTGCTTGGCAAATGTCTGTGGTGGATTTAGTTTGAGCGGGTTGTTATGCTATGAGAACCTTACCTAAGGGGAGAAAATTGAAAAAAATATAGGATTCATGAGAAAATGTACTGGGCGAACTAATAAACCAACAACTGGCCATCCATTTTACCAACATTAACATTTTGTTGGTTTCACAAGAGTGTGTATATTAGGTTGCATAAATACTGCAGAAGTATTCAAGGCATGCTTGTAAGGTGTCTCAAGGGGCTAGTACACTATTTCAGATTTGTTAAGCTATGCAAGAGCCATTTGAGGCATCTCTTTCAACCCTGGATTTTTTATTTTATTTACTGTTGTAATTTTCCCTGAGTTTGTAAAACTGTAATGCTGTTTTTTGTAACGGTCTTTGCTCGCTTCATCAATAAACGAGATGCCCGCTCCTATTCTGTGTTTTGTGATTATTTAGATTAGTTACAAAATATTTTATAATTGTTTCAGTGCGATTAGGGAAAGTTCATTTAATATGACAAGGGGGGGGGGATGAGGATATTGAAACTCGAAGCTTGAAATTTTAGCAGCCCCCCTCGCTAGCGGTTCAATTTTTTAGGAGCCCCCTCCTTGGTAGTCGAAAAAATTTCAGAGCCCCCCCACTCCGCCTTCAATTCCTTTGTTCCCCTGAAAAAAGATCGCTAGACTGTATTAAATATATTTACCGTTATTGTCTTCAATGGTTTATACTATGACAAACTTGAGATACAGTTGTGATACAATTTTCTAAAGCATTTTTGGGATGAACAAGAGTGTAATAATTTATACTGAGACTACATTTGTTATATCTATAAACCACGTGATAAAGCTGAGTTGCACAGGTCATTAAATTGTTGAGTTGAAAACCATCCGATCTGTATGATGATGTCATGTGTTGGTTTTGAAGTATACAAATTTTCGGAACCCCCCCTCCTAGCGCAACAATTTTTTCAGAGCCCCCTTTGGATGTCTAAAAATTTTCAGAGCCCCCCCTCAATATCTTCATCCCCCCCCCTTGTCATATTAAATGAACTTTCCCTTAGAATATAACCTGAATCCTTATGATAGGTGTTTAATATTATGAAATAAATGGTTCTTCATTTGAACCTGAATCCTTATAATATGGCTTAATTAAAAAGTCAACTCTGCCTCTGCCTCAACAGATACTGTGAGATGGACATGCACCTCCCTAATCCAGATACCTAGAGTTGGTCCTTGCAACCACTCTCCAGTGTTTTGCTTGATCATTACTCTATGGGGGGAACATCTACAGACATACATGTATTATAGTGACGGACCAAGCGGTATCCATCTTAGAAAGATTTTCAGGTTTTGATTTAGTACTCATGCATCGATCAGTAGAAGAATAGAATTAAAGTTCACTTATCTATACCCTTGAATACAATATTATTGATTAAAGCTTGTATGGTTATACCATGCACGAAACGTAAAACATGTGTAAACCTTACTCACCGGACCAGATTGCTTGTGCAAGTAAAACAGAAGAATAACTGTACACACTTGAACCAGTCACGTTGATCAATTTGTAATCGTTTCATGTTAACACCATTTATCAGCTGAAGTACCTCAAAAGACAACAACACTCACAGCAGCAGCCGCAGCCGCCATCTTTCTATAGCGAAGCTCGCGTTGCACTATGGTATATAAAACTGCCAACTCGTCCCCAGGGTGTTCTCCTCCCGCCGAGCAGCAGCCCAGGGTTGTGGGCTCCTGAGCCGAGTCAGTACCTGTTCTTGTTACTCATTCAAAATACTTCGCTGTTACTGATTGGCTAACACCCTCCTCCTATTTATTCATTTATTTACTTAGGTTCGCCAATTCTTGGCAGGGTCACCACAAGAATAGAAAGAGCATTTTCCAGTAGTCCGTTAGCTGCTACAAATGAAACTGAAAAGTACAGGTACATTAATTTAATTCCAAAGATAAAAAAAGATCAAGAGTCCTTATTTTACATCGGTAGCGGCCGACGGTGCGCTCATTTTACCCCACCCCACCCCCTTCCTTCCTGCCGTACACCTTTATAATAGTATAGAGAAATTCCGTTCTCTGAGTTTCAAATGAATCTTAATAGAACTTTTCGACTTGAAGTGAAAATAATTAGTTTGAAACAATTTGGTGCAGACAGCTCTTGGGAATTGACAGGCAAGTCAACTAAGACTGAGATGAGTCGCGTGAAACTAGAGATATTCCTCTTAAAAAGCTGTACTGAAAATTCTAAAGGTAGATACTGTAGTGTCCTAATCGGCATCTAAAGTAGAAGAGAAGATCGTTAATTTCGTGGACATAATCGAACATAAGGAATAGCTAGAAACCCAGTTTAGTAAGGTTCCCATGGTGCTGTGGTGGAATCCTTCCCATCCAAGCAAGTTCAAAATATATTTGGTTGCTCAAGTCTTTTTCGGAGACTCTCATCTTTTGAAATATTTCCAACTGACTGAGGACCCCAAATCTCACTGGCATAATCATATCCAGGTGAGATCTGACAAATGTAAGGTATAAAAGTGTTTTGGTGTCATTGTGAAAATTGCTGCAGGTATGTCTTCGAAGCCGAACTAAAAAGGTTTTGCAGAACAGTAGAAATAATATTTTATTGCTACTCCCCGAGGGCACAGTACGGTCCAGCCTCAGTGTCCGTGTATTAGCGAAAATGAGGTTAATGTCGTCAAATATATCGCCGAAACCAGTAAACGCCTAGTTAACAGATTTATGGAACACTTTAGCTCATGCAAAACAGATCTCCCCGTTGGCCGCAATTTTGCTTCCCCGGGTCACAAAACAAACTGTACTGACACGTGAAAGTCAACGCATACAAGCAAAGTTACGTTAAGTCTTTATTTTGGCTTTATTTAAACCTTGTTCCACTTCCGGTCTCGTTTCTACACATCCCTTAATTTGTAATTTGTTTCAAAATCCTCTTGTGTTTCTTCTCCACATACGGCCTCTCCCCAGGCCTTTCCAGTTAATATTTCGGTAACACTACACTTGCTCCAAGCACGTGGGCAAAACGCTTCGTCCGCGCAGAACAATGAGGCCCACTGTATCACGCAGGTGTTTCTAATTATAGCAATGTTCCAATTTTGACATGTAAATTGCTAGTACTTGTGAAAAACTCAACATTTCTATATTTGCTGTTAATTATTAATTTTACAATGACAAATCAGCGGCTTGCTTATTCTCATTAGGAGATAACTTCATTTGTTACTAAACGCTACACGTCAGAAAATACATTAAATTTTTATGTCCCCATCAGCTTTGCAGTTAAAAGTTAAAACTTTTAAATTCAAGTTTGTGTACGGTTAACTGAATTGGTGGTGGCATAAGATGAACAGTTATGCCAACAATAACACCGCTGGATTTTGAAAAAGAAATTCGCGAGTTTCGCGGACAACAACAAGCGCTTAAATTGCCTCCAATAAACCAGTCGAATGGGTTTGAAAACTTCTTCAAAAGAGAGGATAAATTACACAAAAGCCTGAAACTTCTTGACATAACAACGACTTCAAAAAGACGCAAGTTATCGAGGCACAAAATTAAGAAAAAGGCTAAAAACGTCGAGGAGGAATTTTCTTCCAAGGTGAAAAAAGTCAAGAGGAGCGAGAAAGCACCGTCAGCGCAAAGAATTTCAGGTGAAATTACAAAGTCGTTCTCCGTTATTTCAAGTCCCAGTGGTTCAAGGTACACTCTTATTCAAAGACAATCATCAGCAGGGAGTGTTGGGAGCCATAATGGGCAAGAAACACATGACGCATATGATGGAAGTGGAAATGAAATGAAGTTCCATTCACCATAAAAATCATAAAGAAGGGATATTTCAACGAGGACTGAAAAAACATCAATTCTATTCAACTCCAGTAGTCACCGGGTGTAAAAGAAAATAGCGAAGAATTTTGTCGCAGCTAGACAAAGCTTGCATTTGATAAATTCTTCGGAATTCTTATTTTAAATCTGTCTTATTATCTCCAACGGTGCAAGCAATGTGAGGCAGTGTTAAATTACCGTTATTTCCTCGAATAATAACCGGGGGCGATTATTATTTTTTTCGCACAAGAAGGGTCCGGGGTGATTATCCGAGGGAAGGCGATTATTCAACGGAGGAGATTATTTCAAATATTGTATTGCTCACTGGAAGTCGTGCCCTTAATCACATTGAAACATAATGACTACATATGAGCTTTTTAAGTGTTCCAATTGGTTCCTTGATTAATTTTCAATGTCAATATTTTCGGCGTCAGCTTGAATTGTCACTGATCAGTTTTGCTGGATCAGACCGCTCCACTTTGACTTGGAAGGGAGGGGATAAAAGAAAGAGAAGAAGGCAAGAGGGGCAGGGGGGGCGATTATTCGAGGGAGGCAATAACCGTCTTTACTCGAATAAGCGCCCAACCTCGAATTAGCGCCCACCTCGAATAAGCGCCCATCCTAAAGGCAGAAAAAGTTAATAAGCGCCCAGCCTCGAATAAGCGCCCACCCCCCTCCTCCTCCCAATCAAACTCAAATAAGCACTCACCCCCACCCCACCCACTTGAGTGAATAAATTCTAATAAGAGACTTCCCCGAGGACGGAGTTTTCTTCAGAGTATTTTACAGAAACCTTGCTTTGTTACTTCTTCGCGTTTTGTTATTAGCATTTATTGTTTTGTTGCAAAATAAACATACTTCACTTGCTGAAAATGGTGAAAATTTAATAAGCGCCCACCTCGAATAAGCGCCCACTCTCAAGGTCCAAAAATTTAATAAGCGCCCAGGGCGGTTAATCGAATAAATACGGTATTTTCAGGTGGCTCCGTAATTAATACAAGAGCATTTAGCTGTGACAAATTTTCCGTCATAACTTTTTCGATTTTAACGCGATGGCTGCGAAACTTTGCAAAGAACAACAGATATCATTCGGCAATAATACGAAATATTCCGATTTCATTGATGGTAAATATTTCTTGAGAAATTAGCGCTTAAAAGGACCCTAATGTTCAA